GATGAGCAAAATCGAATGAATCTTCCGCTAGAACATCGAAATATACACTACTTACCTGCACACACACACACACGATGAGCAAAATTGAAAGAATCTTCCGCTAGAACATCGAAATATTCCGCCCGTTTTCCTACGGCTTGCGACGCCCACTGTTTTCCTACGGTTTCCGACGTTCCGACGCAGCCCCGCGTCATTTCGCAGCGTTTGCTTTTTGCGCCCGTGCCGGTCCTGTTCGCTTGTCTTTTCGCGCGCACCGTTTGTTTTTTGCGCCCGCGCCGGTCGTGTCGGTCCGTGGCAGACCCGACGACGGTTTCACAGTGTTTGCCATTTTGTGCCCGCGCCGGTCCTGTTCGCTTGTCTTTTCGCGCACACCATTTGGTTTTTGCGCCCGCGCCGGTCCTGTCTGTCCTTGGCAGACCCGACGACGGGCCCCCACCACGGTTTCTCATGGGCCCGCGGCGGCGTCTGTCGGTGGGACCGCCGTATCTTTTAAGGGTATAGGGATCAGTTCCATAAAATAATACTGTTTCACCAACTGTGCCAGCACCCAATAGTCCAATTTTACACCTCTACGATAAGGCACCAAAAGACCTACTACCTTAGTGTTTAAGCGCATACTCACGCTAGGGCTTCGTCCACTAGGCCGGATCAGAACAGTGGTCATATGCATCCATGAAAGTGCTAGTGTGAGTATGTCCCGATTGTGTAAAAGCAGGAAAACACCTATGAAAGGGAAAATAGTTCAAAATACTTAGTTGTATCTACAGTTGCCTGCATTGGATTGGTCAAATCCAGAAACCTGCAGTGGCCATGCAGCGCTAGAGCCCAACACAACTGAGTTACATGCAATGTGCTCTGAAGGTCAAATCCTTGCCCTACTGCTTGGGGGCAACATCGTTCGGCGGCAAGTCATTGGCGATTACTCTTCACATCCAAACCTTCCTTTTATCCACTCCAAGGGCATCTCCTGATCAGCATTCCCCCATCCCCCTCCGAGACAGAAAATATCTGGTTCAACCTGATTAAAAGGCAACACGCCAGGGTTGTCAGAACGCCTACGGTCGACGCCTACCGTAGGCCGTCGGGTCGCCTACCAGTCGGGCCGACCCATAGGCGGACTGGTCGGCAGTCTGTAGAGGGCCATCCACTGTTTTTCTTTCAAATCTGAGCACAGCGCTGTACTGCGCTTCCTGAGTACAACCCAAATCCGCTCAGAAACTTCTAGGGATTTGGGGGGGGTAACCGGGGGCTATGGGGGAGGTATAGGGGAGGCATAAGGGGTTATAGGGGGTCAAGGGGGGGATATGAGGGTGTTGGGGGGCGGTATTGGGGTGTTGGGGGGGTGCATGGGGGTGTTTGGGGGGGCTATGGCGGTGTTGATGGGGTTATTTGGGGTTTTGGACCCTTTTTTTTTTCTTTTTTTTTTGCGGGGTGCCGACCGAACCCCCAACCGGTAGGTGCCGACCAGTCCGACGGTCAGCTGGTCAGCCCCCGACCAATCCAGGGGCAGCGACCGTCGGCGTGACTATTCAGCAACATGCTGGGATCTCTGGAAGGAGAGGTGCATGAAAAGCAGTTAACAAATGTGTGAAAGACAAAGACAGCACAGGGCATGCGATGCATGATCTTATCATGACCTAGATTTGTTTGCCACAGGCAGATAGGCCAGCCAAATGCCAGTAGAGGCTCAGAAGGGATTTCAGAATCACATGGCGAAGGCGACAGCATGCTTTTCACAGTAAATGTCACCACCTGATAACTGGTAACCCACAAGGACTAATCCCCAAGGTGCTCAGATATTCCACTACGAGTCTACAGCAATTTGATAAGGGGAGGAAAAGGGGGGACCCACAATTGATGGTCCATGCAAGAGGAGGGGACTTGTAGGATCAACAGACACCAACTCTGAATTGGGATTAAGACGGTGGTGAGTGAAAAAGAGAGCATGATGCTGGAATCCGTTTTAGTGAATTGAAGTGTCTTGGAGCTGGACCGGGATGCGGCATTCACGAAGTTCGAGGGCCTTGGTTGCACTCGTGATGAATGAGTGAGAACGGATGAGCAAATCCTGTTGCATCCTGACTTGCATGCAGAAGGAGAATCAGACTACTCTCCCCAGAATAAAAGCAGCAATATCCCAGGAGTTGTATCTGATCGAGGAAACAAAGAGAATCCAAGCGGCCTAGCGCAGTTGGTTGAGCACGTAAGTGGTACACAGGAAGGTTGTGGGCTCGATTCGACTCCCCACGACCCCCTGTGTGGCATACTTCAGGTTCACCAACTGAGAAAGTCGGCTTGTCCCTCCTGGCTGGTTGTGGAAGTTTGAGGTCTTTCCAGCCCGCGCCAGGTGTTAGGAGCTTGGGTGCTGCTCCCCGCACAGAGCAGAATTAGGTAGACGTCGTCTGCTTGTCCGACGTAGGAAGACCCTCAACCCCAAAAAAGTACATAGCTCCGGTAGGTACTAGGTAGTGTATGATGATTTTTATCTTTTTTTGGTAATTTGGAACATTTCTCAATTTTGTGTGTCATGATGTCATCCTCGTGCAGGGTCCATGCTGATCTTCTCTGTATCGTTCCAATTTTAACGGATCTCACGAAGCATCCCCGAAGGACATACGGTAAAAAAATGAAAGTTGAAAAATATTAAAAATAAATAAAATAAAATTATAAAAGATGTTTGACGCATACCTGTATGCAGAACCGGAAGGTGTAAATACCCTCTTCATTATACTCTGGAGTGATGACAACATCCTTGATCTCTCGTTCCTCGGTCAGTACAGCAACAGCACTTAGAAACCAGCAGTCGCCAAGAGCACCCTGCTCCGCCGCAAATGGCAGATGTTATTCAGGAGGGCAAGTTAGTACACCAGAAAAGATTTAGGGAGCATACTGGAAAAAAAAAGAAAAACAGACAAGATATGCATCAGAAAGCTAGGCTACCAGAGTGGCCCGGGACCACTTCCCTGGCTGGCCCAAAAAAAAAAAATAAAAAAAATAATAATAATAATAATTTAATAAAAAAATATTATTTTATTTTCTAGGCTACCAGCCAGGCCGCCCCGGTTCCCGGGTGGCCAGCCCGTGCAACGACCAAGGAAGGTCCCAGCAAAAAAATAAAAAAAAATAAAAAAAATATGCAGGAAAAATTGAAAAATAAACTGAACAACTTTTCCCTGAGTGCATGGGTCCTGGAGACCATCTCACGCAAGTGTGTACATGCCATGCATCGTTCTCCCACACACAACGAACAGTAGTCTGATAATAGACAAAGGTAGAGAAGATGAGAACCGAGTTTCACAGCTTATATTATCAAAAATATGAATACAAAGTGTTTCAAAGTTTCCCTGAGTCCAGCGCTCATCAGCGCAACACCAATATCTTGCCAACTCATCAATATGCCTTCCAGTGAATCAGTGCTACCCCTGCAGATARTCTCCAAGTCATCAATGTGGTYACCACTCATCAATGCCACCTCTGCAGATCACATCCAACTCAGGTAAGTATCTTCCATAGCCAACCTTGAATGAACACTCTCAGCCTCAATCCCTTCCTCTTATGATGCATATACATTCTTCAATACTCATGAGGATCTACTCTGGATACTACTCATAGCTACATACTAACCCTCTACTTCTAATGCCAACTCGCTGGGCAGCTATGGCTGCATC